TGGAAATCTAACTTTATCTGCATTTCTTTTGCCTTTGTTCTCCACATCACAGGCGGTGGCATATTTTCTTAAATTTCACAGCAGATTTTACTGGGCAGAGGGGCGTGAGGACCATGCATTTAGTCCAGCTCTTCATTGTACACATGAGACACTGAGGCTTTCTGTGCATGGCCCAGGATCTCCCTGACAGGAGCTAGGGGTGCCCCGCCCCAGCCTTGCTCTTTCTCCTCCTGGGTGTTTCTCTGCGTGTTCCTAATGAGCCATGGCTAAATCCAATTTTAAATAGTGATTCCTCTACTTGTGGGAATGCCCACGGAATTGTACAGAAGAAAAAAAAGAAAAGAACGTGAGCCAAGTGCTCTCCAGGAAGACAATACTTAGTCCTGAAAAGCCACATCGCGGCTCTGCCACGGGCGTGCCCAGCTGGGTCACCTCACTGATCCCACTTTTGTCTGTTAAATAGTGATAATGGTACCCATTTTTGCAAAGCTTTTGTGGGGAGAAAAAAAACCATGATGATAAATGTAAACATTTAAGACAGAGTTGAATACACTGAGTCTGCCACAAGAACTGTTTTCTGATAATGATGATACCTTTAAAACCCATCCCCTCACTTTTCCTCAGTGTGGTGGCAAATCTTCTGTGGAGAGTATCTAGCCTTGAGAAGCAAACTTGTGATCACATGTCATCTCTTCTCCAGAAAGCCCAACACCAATTTACTAACTGCATTCAGTACCTTCTAGAGCAGGACCCTGAGGGGCAGAGCCCCGGGGTGCTGGGGTGCTGGGGTGCTGGGGTACTAGATGAAGTGCAATGTGAATGCTGCCAATCAGAGATCTTGCTTTTGTTTTCTGCGTTTACCATCTCTTTGGAGCCTTTCTGGACCTACAAGTGTCAGCCTCACAGAACAATGTAGCCCCCCCTATTCCCCCCACCCCCACTGTTTGTCTCCTGAACAGCAAGCCACAGATTCTGTGCTTTTGTTTGAACCAGTGGTTTTCTGACTTCACTGTACAAATCTTTTTTCAAGCAAAACCTCAGCTTCAGCACTAGTGACATTTGGGGCTGGATAATTCTTTGCTGAGGGGAGCTGTTCTGGGCATTGTAGGATGTTTATCGGCATCCTTGGCCTCTGTTCACTAGATACCAGTAGAACCCCCACTTGTAACAATCAGTCCTGTCTCTGAAGAATGCCAAATATCCCCCAGGAGGGCAAAACCACTCTGGTCAAGAACCAAAGTCTGATATGCAAAGCAGGCCATAGTGGAGCCACTTGAGTTGTGAATGGGATTAGGGGCTTTTTACCCTCCCCCTCCCCACCCAGCTCCAGCTCCCAAAGCAGGCTACTGGAACACCACATCCTCCAAGGGGTACTGATTCACACATACAACCGCACCCCAGAACACTCCAGCCACCATTTCTGTCTTTCAAGACCTAGAGCAAACCTCTGTTCCTCTCTGAAGTCTTCCCTAGTCTCTCAAAGAAAACTCCCCTCCTTCAACCTCCATAATGTATTTAGTGGCTTAGAGGTTTCCTCTCTACTGTGCATTATCATTTCTTCTGTACATCTCTCTATATTATTCATTCTGAAAACTCATTGTCTTGCACATCAGTTTGACGGTAAAGCTGGGCCTCAAAAGATAAGTAAGCATCAATGGGAAGAAGAAGGAAGAAGGCTTCTTTCTCCTTTCAATAATAATGGTTTAAATAATCTGACATCTTTTTTCCTTGCAGTTGAAATCATATCCAAACACCTTACTTCTCTCTCTCTCTTTTTTTTAAAATTTTTTATTTTTCCTGCCCCAGCGACCATCACTAATGGTCTGTGTGAGGGGCCGGCCCAACCAGGTGCTGTTCTAAGTGTCCCTGTATCTTAACTCCTTTGACCTGACTACGATCCGGGGTTATAGCTATGATTAGTCGTCCCCATTTTCCATGTGGAGAAACTGAAGCACAGAGCAGTTGAGTGACTTTTCCAACCCTATCCCGCTAGTAAGTGGTAGTTTGGGATCTGCAGCGAGGCCACCTGGCTCCCAAGTCTGCAGACCTAACCACCGTACAATCCTCCCTCTCCAAAGAGAAGAAATCGGATTTAAATAATAACTCCTTTTCACTGATGGGACCTCTTTGCCCCTAAATCGAATAGTCAGCCAAATGTGACAGTAAAAGAACTACTTATGTCATTGCAGGCAACCCTGAAACTGACCTAGAGTCCGGCTGCAGCAGGTACACCCTCAGGGCAGACGGGACTCAGTGTCCCAGCGGGTCGGCTGGAACAACGGTTGTCTATGCGTGCGAGTTCATCAGCAGCCACGGGGCCAGAGGCGGCAAGAACATAGAAGTGACATTTACCTCTGTGGGTAAGGACTCCTTCACTACGATCTTTAGCCTTGCACCTCAAGCCAGGGCTGTCAATCCCCTGGGAATATCTCTGAGCTAGCAGGAGCGTGGCTGGGGTCAATCACAAGTGGGCGACAGAGGGGAATGTCCCTCTTGCCCATTTGAATTCAGAGGAAGCCTTTAGAAGAAAGAAGGATAGGGCTGGGGACCCAGGGCTGCAGGGAAGGGAAGGTCCTCCTGGCACTGAGAAGGCACTCTCGGATTAGTTCTGTTTAAGCATTGAATTTATGTCGAGGGTGATGTGCCAAATTTTCCCCTTTCCTCCCGTGATCCCATCCTCCCTTGCACGCCAGTAGCCTGGCGCATGGCCCACCACCAGCCGGCGAAGACCCGCTCTGCCCTCCCTCCCCTCCCACTCCACCTCTTCTAGAGAGAACGCTGCAGGAAGCTTTAATAATCAGATACTTTGTGGTCATTTTACAGTTGCCTTGAGTGTTTTTTAATCTTTTTGACTAAAAGCTTTCGAATGAGTTAGGCCTCTTTTCAAAAGTGTCATTTCTTCTCCTCATGTAATAAAACATTCTGACTTCACCCCGTCTGCAAAAATGGGACACTTACACGTGTTGTTTTTCTCCCCATCTTACAAAAAATGAGCTACTCAGGTCAATCCGACGCCCTTGAACAATTTGGAGAAAGGCTCATATCAACGCTACCGATGACTCTTGTTCACACTTGCTACTCTCATGACTTAGCGTTTTTACAAAGATCAAGATGATGCTTACCTGAAAACATTATCACCATAGACGAGCTAGTGGGTCTTTCGAGCAATTTGCAACTTTCTGTAGTGAGAGCAGTTGTACACTTCAGGTTTCGACTCAGAGTTGTATTGATTAGGTGGGCTTTTGGTTGTCATAGAAATGTGTTTAGCTTTCACTGAAAACCACTGGTCCGGTAGTTTGGACCTCGTCTGAGAATCAAGAGGAGCAGATTCAGGGTTCCATGAGCCTCTCCCTTTCCACTCTCAGAAACCACCCAACCTTAGAAAGGCATCTCTACACCAGATCCCTACAGCCAGTGAGGCCCATGGGAAGGGCACAGCAATCCATGCTTATGCGACCGGGGGACTGTATCTGGACATTGGGATCCCAGCTTCTAAGGGGCACTATGGAAAGGCCTGATTTCTATTGGTTGTGACAAAGGGCAAGATTTGACACTGTTGGGAAAAGCAGGCTGACGTCAGTGGGCTCAAGGCATGAAACTGTTCACCCCTAGGAGATAAAAGGGAATGGCATTTTGAAAAATCAATGACATGCTCAAAGAGGGGTAGAAAGATAGAAGCAGAGGCCAGAAAAAGTGAACTGTTCCTATAAGCTCTTACCTTTGTAAGGGTCTTGTTAACATTTTTGATGAATAATTCCTCATGAACGTATGAGGACATTCTCATAAGGAGGAGTAAATGTAGAGAGACTTAGAGTTAAGGTGCCTATCCCTCCCAGTCTGCCTGAGACAGTCCTGGTATAATTATTTGGGCAATACATTCTACCATTCCTGTACTTCAAATGCTGTTCCAGAAATCACTCTTCGGCTTAGTAAGTATTGACTGTGTACTATGGTCAGTGCTAAGTCCTGGGGAATGCAAAGACACAGAAAAGAGAGTCCCGCTCTTGAGGGGTTCACATGTTTATGAAGAAGAGATATAGAAAGAGAGAAATTAAAATACAACGTGGTATTATTTAAAACGTGTTTTAAAAGAGTAGAGAATGGCGTTGTTACAAGAACAGAGCCATTTGGCACGGAAAAGGTTGGAGGGGAGCTTGGGTTAAGTCAACAGCCCTAAGTTTGCAACCTTCTGCCCTGCCGATCATCAGGAGATAATCCCAGCCACAAAGGGGAAGTGCACGAGTTCCCAAGGCAGGAGATGGAAATGAGTACAGTTGAGAGCACCACCAGGAACAGCGTAGAAACAAAGAAAGCCCAGGAGCCACAAGGTACCCATCCCACATTGATACCAGTGGAGTCAGGACGGCCCCTGCTCTCTGCCTCTGTCTTAAATTTCACTCCTGTGTCGATGTCACCAGAAAGACTAAACCTTGTGCTTGTTGTTGGTTTTTCTTTTGTCCGTTCTGTGTGCGTTCTTTCAGCCAACCTAACAATAACCCCGGACCCAATTTCTGTTTCTGAGGGACAAAACTTTTCCATAAAGTGCATCAGCGATGTGAGTAACTATGATGAGGTTTACTGGAACACTTCTGCTGGAATTAAAATATACCAAAAGTTTTATACCACGAGGAGGTCTGCTGCTGGAGCAGAGTCGGTGCTGAGAGTGAAGATCGCGACCCGGGAATGGAACGGTAGGTGCGAGACCCCAGACCCTCTGCTGCCATGCTGCCCCGGGGCCCCTGGGAACACCCTGTAAGAGGGACCATCTCTGCAGGGGCTGCCCCGGGATGTGCCCCTGTGCCACCACACTTCATGCAAGAGCTCTTTAGGGGAAGGTGTCGCAATCTCCATTGTACAGGTGTGGAAATAGAGGCTCAGAGAGAATAACAAATGCTCCCAGGCTCCTGCATCTCAAGGTGCAGAGTCAGGACTGGAACTGGGTTCTCCGATTCAAGAACCTGTGCTCTTGCCATGAAGTTAAGAGGATTGTTTTGCTGTTTATTTTTAAAGATGTATTTATTTTAGAGAGAGAGAGAGAGCACAAGCGGGAGGGGCAGGGAATGGGAGAGAGAATCCCAAGCAGACTCCCCACTGAGTGCGGAGCCCCACGCCGAGTTTGATCTCACGACCTAGAGTGGGACACCAAGAGTCGGACACTTACCTAACTAAGCCACCCAGGCACCCCAAGAGGATTATTTTTAAAAGTAGTTTTACCAGACTTTTAGGACTTTTTCACCCAGTTGTGATATTAAAAAAATCTAGGTAAAGGATTTATATGCCTGGTTCCAAAGAAAGGAACACTTGTATTTTGTATTTATCTCTACACGTTATTCATGTTGGAAAGAAATTTGGAGGGAAAAAAAGGATTTGATAGAATTGCTGCAATAATAACTGACATGTATTGAGCCCTTCATATGTGATAGGCATCATGCTAAGTGTTTGAGTGGGTTAGTTCATTTAAAACAATAAACCTAGAGGACAGTGGGGGTTATTAGTGTCCCCATTTTACAGGTGAAGAAACTGAGGCCCAGTGAGGGTAAGTAAAATATCTGAGGTTATACACCTGGTAAATGGCAGAGCCAGGGTGAAATGGAGACTGTCTGGCCAACCCTTGACCACTCCACTCTGAAGGCTTTCATTAACTATAAGTTTAATCAGTCCAGGTCCTACGAGTCCTAGGTCTTTATTTGTTCATATAAGGCCTAGGCAACATTATAGAAATAACTAGTCACTCTGTGGCTGGCCTTGGCTGGGGGCATTTTTAAAACCACCTCACTTGGTAGCATACAGTCAGAAGATGGAGTATTTTTCTCCCGTGCTGGGCTTACACATACTCTGTCCAATTGCTCTTTCCTCCTGAGGAGCCATAACTGAGGAGGAGCCGTAACGTTTCCAGGAACATAAACTCTTTAACAGTCCCATACTCGGGCACTAAGAAAAATCCGTTCTCATCTAAATTAACTACACTTTTATTTATATTGAAGCTACATTTCCATTCCTCCCAACAGAAACAGAACGAGGTTTGTTCTCTGTCCTTGTTCTACCTGTTTTCCCTCTGGCTAAGTTGCTGCTCTGGTTCCTCCAGAGCTGGGGCAAAGAGAAGGAATGTAGAGAAAGTCAAAGGGTCTTACTCAACTGTAGGTGCCGTTATAATCTTCCTGTACTGTCCCCATGGCAGCTGTTCAGGTGGTGGCTCATCCTCTGATGGACCCTTGCATAAAGACCACTGGGATAAGGTCCTCTCTAGAAGCTCGACCCAAAGACCGTGCTCAGCCTACACTGCCTCACCAAGCATGGGTGCACAGGCTACTCTTGCTGAAGCCTTTCCTCTGTCCTCCAGAAAGGCCAGCCAGCCTCTCATCTTTAGACTTTACTAAATGGGAGTCAGACATTAGACGTCCAACTCTGGGGTCCACAGGGGAAGCTCTCTCAAGGATTTCAGCCTACCCCCTCCACATGCTTTGATGGTGTGATGGTGCCCGGGAACCGGAATGTCTACTCACTCACAGATGGAGTGAGGGAACATCCCACCACCACAGAGCTCCAGCTGGCTGGCAACTGTCTTTGAAGAACTCCTCAGCCCAGCACACACCAAAATTCCCATTTTCCCCCCTGGGTTAATGAAAGAGCCTTGGAGTAAGTGTTGGGAACCTGGTTTGAAATGCAATTCCTGGGATGCCTGGCTGGCTCAGCTGGTAGAGCATGCAACTCTTGATCTTGGGGTCTGGAGTTCAAGCCCCATGTAGGGTGTAGAGATTATTTAAATAAATAAATAAATATTTAAAAAAAAAAAAAAAGGAAAGAAATACAATTCCACACCTAACAGGCTGTGTAACTTTAGATAAGCCACTTAATTTTACTTAAAAGTAAGTGAATATTTAGGCAATGGGTTAGTCCTTCAGGTACATAGATAACCTGGAAGGAGAGTTGATCAAACATGTTCTCGTCCAGTGTCCAAGAAGGTGTGATGTGCCCTTGCCCATGCTTGACAGGGAAAAGTAAGCCTCTTCTTAAACTTCCTAGCCAGTGCTTTTTGGAGCAGTGATCACATTCTATCTCATTTTTATTTCCTTCCACACAGGAACCTATCATTGCATATTTAGATATAAGAATTCGTACAGTGTCGCGACGAAAGATGTGACCGTTCACCCACTGCCCCTAGAGCCAGACATCATGGTGGATCCTCTGGAGGCTACAGTTCCATGCAAAGGTTCCCATCACTTCAGGTGCTGCATTGAGGAGGATGAAGACTACAAAGTAACTTTCCAAATGGATTCCTTATCCTTTCTTGCCGGTAAGACACTAATTGCTGTATTGTGAGGACATATTTCATTCATGTGGAGTCTTAAAACAGCGGTAAACAGACATGAAGATTGCATCAGAGAGAGAATGTAACAGAGGGAACCTCATGAACTTTTATTATCTTCTGTTTTGTTATGTGGCCCGTGGCTTGTGGGTTTGTGGCAGAATTTGAGGGTCTGTGAGGGTGGAGCCCATGGGTTTTAGTGGAAGCTGTCGAAGACAGTGTTAAGACATCTCCACAGGCCTTCTGCTTCCTCAGTATATCAGGTATTCTGGTGGTCCCTCCCTCCGTGCTATGAATCAACATGCTATAAAAACACCACAGAAATCCTTTTAAATGCACAGCTGAGCATCCAAGAAAGTGAGAGAAATACCCAAGGGCCAAAAACATAAAGAAAAAGAAAAATAGAAATGCTTTAGCTACTGCTGGGGCTTTTCTGAGGGCATCGACCAGTATGAGAAACCCAGAACCTTGGGGTTTTTTTCCTAAAGATTTTATTCATTTATTTGAGAGAGAGCTAGAGAGAGAGCACAAGCAGGGGGAGGGGCAGAGGAAGAGGGAGAAGCAAACTCCCGGCTAAGCAGGGAGCCTGACATGGGATTTGCGCCCAGGACCCCGGGATCATGACCTGAGCCAAAGTCAAATGCTTACCTCACTGAGCCACCAGGCGTCCCAGAACCTTGGGTTTTAAGGCTCTGAAGGGCATGAAAGAAAGGCCTTGTTCCCTATGCAGTGATTAAGGCACCCCATGTCACCAGCACAATGTCAGGACCCTCAAAGGGTGACATGCTCACTCAGGAAGAGGATAAGTAGAAAAACAAAATTTGTCTGCCAGAGTTAAGAGCTTGGCCTCATCTCCAGGTGGACAAAAATTTCCCCGGAGAATTACAACTGTCCTGCCCTCACTCAGGTTTGGGTTTGAATTTATATTGCCTCCATGGCCCGGGACTCCAAGCTGAGGAGTAACTAACGTAAAGTGGTCCATGAGTAACACCCAATGGTACCTGGCCAAAAAAAAAAAAAAAAAAAAAAAATTCGAATCCTCTAAGGTAGAATGTACCCTCAATCCAGATACCTCAGGATTCCTACAGATTAAGGTGAACCTAATGTGAGCTCACAACTCCAAATCTCAACACAGAGACACCTTCATGAGGGATTTACAAGCTTATTCGTTCTTTGAACAACCATTTGTGGGGACACACTCAATGCAAAACACCATAGTAGGCAATGAAAAGGGGACACAAGAGTTGGGGCACAAGTATTACTATCTAGCTGGAAGGGCTCATGTCATAAAGGATGATTCATGTAATGTTAAGTTTCCAAAATGAGCAATGCAGATCAAAAGAACACTGGAAGTTCAGAAAAGCAGGAGCCAGTAGAGATGAGGATTTAGAGAAGGCTGGGTGATAGGAGGATATAGAATCCATCCCAGTACTGGAGTATTTAAGCATTTCAACATTCCATGTTTAACATGCATGCATTCAGTGCTCTGAATGTGCCAAATACTGAGCTAGGCATTGGGAGATACAATGATAAATAGGACCAGGTACCTTCTCTCTAAGACTTTATGGTCTAATGGAGGAGACAGACCCATAAAAAGGTGATGCTAAACCAATGAGGTGAAGGCAGGACAGGAAAAATGCACAGGGCATGATGGGATTTGGATAGGCAGAGGGAGGAGAGGGATGATGAAAGGCATTCGGATTGTCCAAACTGTACGGGGAACAGATTTGGAGTCATGAATGGTGGAGGTAAATGTTAGGCGAGCACCGGGTAAGTGTGGGCTGACTTACTTCTTGGCTGGGGCATTTTTAAAACCACATCAGAAATGAATGTGGCACATGCCTTGGAAAAGTTTGGACACATTATCCATAGTGGATCAGTTTAACAAAATGTGTGCTTTGGAGACTCATCTTGTGACTTGATTCTTTTAATAATTCTATCTCAGAAAAAGAAGTTAAAGGAAAGCAAGTGTGTTACAAATACAATTTCATGGCAAGCTCAGTTTCCAGGTGTCCAAAAAAGCTGGACATATTTTGTCACTTTACCAATGCTGCTAATAATTCAGTCCGGAGCTCATCTATGAAGCTTAACCTGGTTCCTGGTAAGAGCATTTGAATTTTTTTTAAAATGTGATAGTCATGAGCAGGGATTCATTTATTCATTCACTCCCTCATGCATCCCTTCAATAAAGAGATGTTGAGCACCTTCATGTGGCAAGCCTTGGGCTAAGGGTAGAGGGTCTGGAAAACAACAATAACAACAACAACAACAACAGCTAAGCCATGGGGATTAGCCTCAGGTGTAGGGGAAAGATGGGTGTGATAAAAAATGTGATCACATCTAATGTGGTAAGGGCTGAACTAGAGACTGTGTGGGCAGGCAGAAGAGGCTGCTGGGTTTCACTCTGCTGGTGATAGTGCGGAGGAAGTAATCAAGAAAGTCTTGCGGATGAAGCCCTATTTCTGAGGAGTCTGAGAGGCAAAGCACTGGACTGGGCAGTGCATAGTGTCTTTATGAGGCTGAGACCCCTTTGAGGTTTCAGCCAAGGAAGGGTGTCCCCACTAGACAGGGCTACATGAAAAGAATCAATCTAAAAAGTAGGCAACCATCTTTCCCATCCTTTGTCATGACTGAGCCAATATCCCCCCGCATAATATTTTCAAGGTAGGAGGTCATGGTTTATGGCCCTTTCTGTAATAGCCCAGGACCAAGAGCTCTCCTCAGGAGCAGCAGAGAGGCAAGTGAATAAAGGGTGGTCCTGGGCTTCCATCAGAAGCAAACCCCTCCTCCAGAAATCTTGTCTGTAATAGGACCTCTGATATCCGAAGGATTCATGGCTCTATCACAACTCATGTTTGGGTTTACTGAATGATTTGTGATATATGAGAATATGTGTTGGTAACTGAGCCCTGGACACCAAGGTAGGAAGCAATTTAGAGTTCCTTGTCTCTCTGAGTTACTGTCCCCTGACCCTACAAAGAACACCTCTTCCGGAGGCAGCCAAGACCACTTCTTCACTGTCCCTCACGCCGCCATCTTCACCCATTTATCTTTGTTCTTCTCTTTCCTCATACGAGGTCTGATTCCTCTTCCTTTTCCTAGTAAGAAATTACTTACGTACTTCAAGATTTTATACAATGATTGAGAACTCAATTAATGTTAAATTTGTAAGTTGGTGAGAAAGGGATCTTATCACCAGAGAATCAAGGTCCCCGGAAGATCAGAGATTCTGCAACAAATGTCATTTTCCCATTCAGATCTGGTCTTGAATAGACATGAAATAGCGTCACCTCTAAGGGAAGCCAGAAGGAACAAACATTTACAAATATTGCTTAGAATATTCAGGTCATGGGTACCTGGAATTCCCATTATTAATTATATGTGTGAATTAAGGCAGTGCTTCTCAACCTTGGCTGCATGCTGGAATCACCGGGGAAAGTTAGAAACACAGCCAATGCCTAAATCCCAGCCCCGAGGGGTTCTTATTTGTTTGGGCTGGAGTAAACCAGGACATTGGTATTTTCTGAGCTCCCCAGGTGATTCAAATATGCTGGAGCTGAGAATCCCTTGGATTAAGGCATTTTGTCCCTGAGATTCCTGGTAACCTGATTATCTCTTATCTGGCTGAGCACACATTAAACTCTCGTGATTTTTTCTGTGGGTTAGATTTTACAGGCAGCAGCAGAGAGAATATTCTCAGGGATTAGAGGTGGGGATGAGGCATAGAGGAAATAAATTCTGTTAGGAAAAGCAAGTGCAGGTGAAAGTCAGATTTGTGTCAAAAGCACTAAAAGGGGCTTTGGAAAATCAGGCGTGAAATAAAGAAAGTGGGTAACTCTGAAAAGGTCACAGAAACTAAAGAGAAAAATAAATTCAAACAGCAACAAACAGCTAGGCCAGACCCTATTTTGACTATCTTTTCTCCTCCTTTCAAATTGTCCCTTTTATTTCCGTGTTTCCAATGCAGGAGAGAAGATCATGTGCCGAGATCCCACAATAGGTGTTGGGGAGCCTGGGAAAGTCATCCAGAAACTATGCCAGTTCTCAAACGTACCCAGCAGCCCTGGAGGTCCCACTGGCGGGATCATGACTTACAAATGTGTAGGCTCCCACTGGGAGGTGAAGAAAAATGACTGCATCTCTGCCCCAATAAATAGTCTGCTCCAGCTGGCCAAGGTGATCCTTAAATCTTTGACTCCGAGCTCTTGGTGGGGAGGTGGGTCTAGCTTATCCATATTTTTCAGCAAATGGGCCTTGGGCTGGTTTGTGTTGCTCCCAAAGCTACTTTATTTATTTCCAAAGAAGACGCAATCCTAGAAATGCTTTACATTTTACTTAAGTACAAATGTGGAGACAACAAAATATGTATTCTACTCTGGGACCAGCTGTATACCTTGACCTTGACTTCTCAGTGCCTTGTTCCTATTACCTCCAAGGTGCCGGTGGAATTATCTTCTCTTACCACTCTCCTTTGAATAATCTGGGTATCAAGCAAGTAGCTCTAATCTTTTCAGAAGGAGGAGATACATAAAAAATACGGTTCACCAGTGCAAAAAAAAAAAAAAAATATGCTTGGGCTTTATGCTTCTATAGGTCTGAGATTTCTTCCATCTTTAGAGGGAACCTTTAGTTATGAATGATGGTACTAGCCTGCCTCTCTTACCTAGAAGAGAGGTTCCTGCCACGTACTAGGGGAGAATTCCTTTCTTTTCTTCGTGGGAAAATAAATAAATGTTACCTCATACTTAAGTTTTCGAGAGTAGGGACTCCTAAAATGCCATGAGTTATAATAAATAAATACTGAAGAGGCAACTGGTAGACTTATAGTTAATGACATTGTTAGACAAGTGGTTCCAAATACTCTCACCCTTGGAAGAAGAATTAAGGAAAAGGAGTGATACTGATTTGTGTCTCATCTAATTATCTTCTGTCTCTCCTCTTGTCTTACACTAAATTCATTAAGATACCTACTAGGTGCAAAGCATTATTGTAGTTGCTAGAGGACATAATCCAGTTGGGTAGTTCTATACACATTGATTTTGCTTAGGATAATCAGGAAGCTCTGCTTGAAAAACTTGGCCTCTGAGTTGGACCTTGATGAGGATGCATCAGTGATATGAATTTTCCTAATTGAGAAAGATAGAAATACTATAATTTGAACTCAACGTTGGGCCCTGGTCCCAACTCTAGATACCTAGATACATTTTCAGTGGAAACGGGGCCTGTTGGTCTATCAGATTTATCCATTCAACATATATTTATTGAATACCTACTATGTGCCAATTTATGACTTATACTATGTTAGGCATTATACTATATCAGATGGAATATGACATGTTTCAAATTGCTATGGAGCTTATAATTTAATTGGAGAGATATTTAAATTAAAACACAAGCTGACATTGGTAGAAATGTCATAAATGTAAAGTATGTTAAATAACAAACGCTTACAGGGGCGTCTGGGTGGCGCAGTCCATTAAGCATCTGACTCTTGGTTTTGGCTCTGGCCCTGATCTCAGGGTCGTAAGACTGAGCCCCACATGGGGCTCCACGCTGAGCACGAGGCTGCTTGAGATTCTCTCTCTCCCTTTGCCCCTCCAGCTCGTGCTCTCTCTCTCTAAGATAAATAAATAAATCTTTTAAAAAAAAAATAACAAACATTTAGGCAGTCAGAGGAAGAAACTCCGATGTGTTGGAATACTCATCAAAGTTCTTTAGGGAGGAGGTCGAATTGGAGTTCATTCTCTAATTTTAAGTGGGGATTAGATAATTAGGAAACAGAAGTGGGATCATTATAGATAGGGTGACCATATAATTTACCATCCAAACCAGGACACATTTTGAAAATAAAAGAGGGTGCTAGTAATAATGACACTGGGCCAGCAGATATAAAGCAGAACTGTCCCAGGAAAATTGGGATGGAGAGTCACCCTTCTAAGGGTCAGCAAAGTAAGTGATGAGAAAAAGCAGAGTAGCAAATGTGCTTCCATACAGACCATCAAGGGATAATTTTACTCAATTTTAATCTAGTTCTCTAGGAATCACATCTCCTTTCCTTTTCCTTTAGCATCAGATTGATATGTGTTTTACTATTCCCCTTCTACCTGTGAGGTCTTATTCTATTCTGAATAGCACACAGATTAAATGAAGAGATAAGTTATCTTATAGGATATATTTATAGGAGTGGAGGAAAAAAAAGAAACCACAGATGTAAGAAATTTTCATCATGGGTAGATCAACAGGATTTGATGACAGGACTGACTGGCAAGTTTTTTGTTTGTCTGTTTGTGTTGGCTTTTGTTTTCCTAGGATTTGATCAAGAGCCCCTGTCAGGATACGAAGCTCCCCACATACCTGAAGGATCTTTCTGTCAGCACAGGCAAGGTGAAACATGAAGTCAGCTCATTTCCTGGGAGCCTGGGAGCCATCATTAACATCCTGGATTTGCTCTCAACAGTTCCAACCCAAGTGAATTCAGAAATGATGACGGTGAGTTGGTTTAGACCTTACAGGAGCTTTGGGTCTCCTCTTTTCACCCGTTGGGACTTGTAGTCAAGAAACGCAACTCGTCCCCATTGCAGCTCCTTCTTTGTCTTCTCTAGAGCAATACTCTGGATTTTAGGGTCACATAGCATGCTTTGTGCTTTGTTAGCTATGGCTTTTAAGGTCACAGGGGGTGTTTCTAATATTCATTTGGGGATCTTAAAAAGACTTATTTAGTGAATCTCTGTCTTAGTTTCTTCATTAAAGTAGAATGTATTCTTGGGGCGCCTGGGTGGCTCAGTCGTTAAGCGTCTGCCTTTGGCTCAGGTCATGATCCCGGGGTCCTGGGATCGAGCCCCGCATCGGGCTTTCCGCTCTGCAGGAAGCCTGCTTCTCCCTCTCCCACTCCCCCGCTTGTGTTCCCTCTCTCGCTGTGTCTCTCTCTGTCAAATAAATAAATAAAATCTTTAAAAAAAAAAAAAAAAGTAGAATGTATTCTTACCTGCTTTCTAAGAAAACCAGGAATGAAAGGTTTTCAGAATATTATGTATAAGGTGGGATTCTCAGTGGTCTAGCACTAACCATGAACTCTGAGGCACTCAGCGTTCTGAGAGGAGTCACCCAGAATTCAAATGAAGAGTTCAAATGATGAGACTTTAATGAAAGGATATTTACAGAGGTCAAGCCAGGGATAAAAAAGAAAAAAAAAAAAAATAGAAGCCAGTACTACCCTGAGGACTAAAGGGGAAAGGAGAGGAAAGAATGTACCTACAGCAGAGGGAGAATGAAACCTTGGAGGAGGGATTGCTAGCAGGAGCAACAGAACTATCACCAAAGATGTGCTGAAGATGGTATCTGGGTATAGGGGGTGAGGGGATGACTGCGGTGGGTCATAGGAAAATATATTTCAACTTCTTTCTTCTCCTACCCTCTCATCTCCTGCCAGTGCTTCCCAGTGGCCAAACACAGGCAGAGGCTCCTGGCAAGCAGCTTGGGGAACAAGGGTCCAAGGAGGTTATGTGGACCTCCTATGGCGAGTGTAACAGATGCCCATACTGTGGGTGGCTTACCATGACAGGAACTTATTCTCTCATGGTTCTCAAAGCTAGAAGTCTGAAATCAAGGTGTCTGCCAGACCACGTTCCTTCCCAAGTCTCCAGGGGAGACTTTCTCTGCCTCGTCCAGCTCCATGTAGTTCCAGCACTCTTTGGCTTGCGGCTGCCTCAGTACATCCTCTGCCTTTGTCTTCACGTGGTCTCCTCCTCTCCATTTATCTTCTCTTCTGTCCTTCATAAGGATACTTGACATTGGATTTAGGGCCCACCTAGGTAATCTGGGATGATTTCCTCTCAAGATCCTTAACTTAATTACAACTACAAAGACCTTTTCTCAAAATAAGGTCACATTCACAGGGTCTGGGTATTAGGACATGTTCTTTTGGGGACCACCATTCAAGAAACTACAAGGCTCATAGTTTCAGATTGAACAGAACAAGGCAAAGGAGGGCAAAGAAATTACAATGAGAGAAAGCCCAAATGGAAAATGAGAAGCCCAAGTTTATGGGAGAGAAAATCAAAATGTTTAGCAAAAAGAAAAAAAAGGAATGATGCCTTTGCCAGCAATTTGGTGTTCAGCATTAGAGAGGGTCTTTTGAAACAACTTCACCCTTGCTGGTGAAGTATCACTCTTTACAGGCTTGAGATTTAAAATAAAATAAAACAGTGAGTACATATCTCTACCAGCCTGCTCAATTGGCCTTGGCGGTGGGAGGGGGCGCAGTACTTGGTCAATGTTTGATGAGGTCTCGTAGCCTTGGGGATGCATCCTCTGCTAACTCCCTGCCGTAAGAAGGAGGGACACAGATCCCCATAGCCTGTGATGCCTCATTTTTCTCTTCTCTCTTCCTCTTACCCATGCAACCAGTTTCCATGGAGATGTTACTTTTTCTCTCTTTTATGATTGAAAGAATTTGGTTGGTTTGACCCCATGCCATGTCAATTACAGAACGTTCTCTCTACGGTTAACACCATCCTCAGCAAGCCCATGTTGAGTACCTGGAAGGTGTTCCAACAGCAACAGACCAACCAGAGCTCACAGCTCCTGGATTCAGTAGAAAGATTTTCCCGAGCATTACAGTCTGAAGATAGCACTTTTTTGTCTATCAACCAAACGAATGTGCAGATGAGGAGCATGGTAATAAAACCTGGCCCTCCAAAAACCTACAAACAGAACTTTGTTTTCTCGGACTTGGACCTCTGGGGCAATGTGGCCATTGACAAGTGCGAGCTGGGAAGCCTGCAGTGGGGTTCGTCTGTTGTCACTGTCGCTTTCCCAACTCTCAAAACCATCCTCACTCAGGATGGGCAAGGAAAGAACGTTGCAAACAGCTTAGTGATGACAACTACTGTCAGCCACAATATAACCCTGCCATTCCGGATTTCGATGACTTTTAAGAACATCAACCCTTCAGGTGGAGTACCACAGTGTGTCTTCTGGAATTTCAACCTTGCCAACTACACAGGGGGGTGGGATAGTAGTGGGTGTTATGTGAACAGAGTCGATGGGGACAGTGTCTCCTGCATCTGTGACCACCTCACATCGTTCTCCATCCTCATGTCCCCTGACTCTCCATACCCTGGTTCCCTCCTGGAAATACTACTGGATATCATTTCCTACATTGGGTTGTGCTTTTCCATCTTGAGCTTAGCAGCCTGTCTAGTGGTGGAAGCCGTGGTGTGGAAATCAGTAACCAAGAATCGGACTTCCTATATGCGCCACATCTGCATAGTGAACATTGCCACCTCCCTTCTGGTGGCTGACATCTGGTTCATTGTGGCTGCTGCCATCCACGACCATTTTTACCCTCTCAACGAGACAGCCTGTGTGGCCGCCACCTTCTTCATCCACTTCTTCTACCTCAGCGTCTTTTTCTGGATGCTGACTCTGGGCCTCATGCTCTTCTACCGCCTGGTTTTCATCCTGCATGACACAAGCAAGTCCATTCAGAAGACTATTGCATTTTCTCTTGGCTATGGCTGCCCTCTTGTCATCTCAGTCATCACAGTAGGGGCCACCCAGCCCCAAGAAGTCTACACCAGGAAGAATGCCTGCTGGCTCAACTGGGAGGATACCAAGGCCCTGCTGGCCTTCGTCATCCCAGCGCTGATCATCGTGGTAGTGAACATGACCATCACAGTTGTGGTCATCTCCAAGATCCTGAGACCTTCCATTGGAGACAAGCCAAGCAAGCAGGAGAAGAGTAGCCTGTTTCAGATCAGCAAGAGCATTGGGGTCCTCACGCCACTCTTGGGGCTCACCTGGGGTTTTGGCCTTGCCACTGTGTTCCAAGGAAGCAATGCTGTGTTCCATATTATATTTACACTACTCAATGCCTTTCAGGTAAGTTCTGCAGGGCAGGGTTCTCAGGAAGTATCTGAACTGGTGGGAAAAATTAATGATAGAAACACAAACAGGGGTAGGAATGGGGAAGGATTTTAGTTCAGAGGAGGCCCTAGCCCTAAAGAGGGGGAATTACAAGAACTCAGTGAGATAGAAGGGACACATTCCTCTGCTCCCATGGAACCTCATAGCTCTTATCACCTGCATTATAATTTAGCTGCATGCATGAGTCACTTCGAAAGGCCCTGATAATACAAGTAAGAGGAAAGTCCCTTCCCTACACAGGATTTTGCTATTTACCCAACATTATCATGATACCACTTATTATCTCCTAAATGAAAATACCACTATTAAACCACATCATTTCTCCACTTAATTTCCACAAGCATTAAATGAGCTCTATCTTTATGAATTCAGGGATAGCATTTGTCTTCTTTACCACTCTATCCCTAATAGTACCTAAAAAAGACTTTGGCACAGAGTAGGTGCTCGATAACCGTCTGGTAAATAAAATGAATGCCATGAACCACATAGTATGTTCTCTAGAAACATTTGCTGAAGAATGAGAGAAAGAATGCCCTACGTAAGGTAGACATTCTGCTCTATTTTACTAAAATGAAAAAGACACACTCACTGTTCTCTTGTAGCACATAACGAACTATAATACAAGCCACATTGTTAGAAGAGCTTTAGCAGAGGTACAGGCAGCAAGGAAGGGAATGCTTAATTCTGATTCAGCCAGCAGGTGGGTGGTAAGCATGGGCTCCCATGAACTGGCAAGGAGGAGAAATTGAGACACGGTCCCAGATGCTCATGCCAAGGCCACACAAATCCTAACTTCTGCTACTGGGTCCATGGCTTCAAACCATAAGGCTCATGCCTAATGAAGTGTATAGCATGACTTGACTACAAGGGACTGATTATTTCACCCCAGGCCCCAGGTTCTCATCACAATGACGTGAGCACTACTGTAGATAGAAAAGGTGCATTCAACAGCTCAACCAGCAGGCCCTCCAGTCCACGAGGAGGCAAGGATAAGGAAATAGAATAATATCCTTCTCACATGATAACATTTAAGGTCCCCTGTTGTGGACCTACTGCATTCCTTTTAACATTATTATCCCCTGGACTCATTCCATAAATACAGATATGGGAGAGGTAGTACAAATTCAATGCCTGGTTGACGATATTTCTTGGTTTGCTGGGCAATAGAATATGAATAAAATGTCCTTCTTCCCTATTCTTTTTTTCAGGGATTATTCATTTTACTCTTTGGCTGCCTCTGGGATCAGAAGGTAAGAACAATGACAGTTTCATGCTTCTAGAAAAGTCGACAGTGATTGCGGCATATTGAACTTACGATGGCTTCTTTTAAACAATTGTAGGTCCAGGAAGCGTTGCTAAAGAAGTTTTCACTGTCAAGATGGTCTTCGCAGCACTCAAAGGTCAGTCTTTCTTTTGTAGAGATTTTTGAAAACCCCTCTCTCTCCACACCCACGTTCAGCATAGATTATTATTCCACTGTTTTTGCTTTGTACCCGATTCTGCCTATTAAAGTCAGCCACAGAACTTCCATTAAGATGCTGTCCCACATCTTTAAATAGGGATCAGATAGCACAGATAATACCAATTGGAGGCCAAAAACCAAAATTCAAGGGGAAAAAAGAAATCTTCTGGGGAAATTTAAGGCACTAGAGAATACAATGTGAGGAATAATGATGAATAGATTTTCTGTAGTTCATTTTGGAAAATAACTATTGCACTTAAACGTATTTGACTGTCATCACATGTCAGAAGATACCAAACCCTACTGAACAGTAAAACATGTATTTGAAAGTTATTTTCCTAAAGCCGATGTGAGTCCAGTGTTTCAAAGTGACTCTCCTACTTGATTTGTTTGAAGTAGAAATTCACGCTCCACCAGGCTCTCACTTTCAAGTGGACTGAGAGATGCAGGCAGTGAGTAGAGGGCAGCAAATGCGTCATCCTACAAAAAAACAGGACTTTGGTTTAACATTTGCTTTGTAACTGTCTTTCTTCTCTTTTTTAGTCAACATCCCTAGGTTCATCAACACCTGTATTTTCTATGAGTTCTCCAATATCAAGAAGATTTAACAATTTGTTTGGTAAAACAGGTACGTAGTGACTTCTAGGTCCCTCCTAGTGCACTTACCTTGGGTTGACTCAAACAGATTTGCCCTGATGGGGGATCTCACACCCCTACCTTCCCACTCCCCCCTTTAAGGCATTTACCAGCAATAGCCTCATTTGGGGCAGAGGTCAAATACAGGAGCTTGCTTACATTTTCCCAAGCCACCAGGAGGCTGGTACAGAGGGCAACTGCCTTTGGTGGGCAACTAATAATAACTTAAGGATAAGATTTGGAGAATCTAGACAAGCCTGCAGAGAGCTGTCTATCAAAACTGTATCAACTACAAAAATGAGAACTGTAAATTGCTGGCTTTGTCAAACACAGAGTTCTCTGCTATTCATGTTTGTTTTTTTGGTTTTTTTTTTTTTTTAGATTTTATTTATTTACTTTTGAGAGAGACAGAGAGAGAGTATACAAGCAGGGAGGGAGCAGCAGGCAGAGGGAGAAGCAGGCTCCCCGCTGCAGGATTCGATCCCAGGGCCCTGAGATCATGACCTGAGCCGAAGGCAGACGCTTAACCAGCTGAGCCACCCAGGCGCCCTCTTTGCTATTCAAGTTAAATAGGAATAGGAAAGTCATGTTTATGGGTTAAGGTGTAGCAAAAAATAGATTTAGAAAGCTCTACTATAAGATCACATGCTATGGGTTCCCTCCCTTTTTTTTTCTTTCCTTTTTCTTTTTCTTTCTTTTTTTTTTTTGAGTGTGCTTGTGGTGCACATTGATATTTATAAAACTGTGCATATATATAGGAGGAATCACGGAAGTTATCCATTCTATTAGGAACATGCACAGCTAAGTCGCTACCTTGGAGGTATAAAATAAATAATGTTAATGATTTTGGGCAACGGATCTCAGCTAACCTGGCAAGTTGAAACCTCTTCCCACCATCCCTCCACGCCCAGGAAAATAAGCACCAGAACTGCTTCCATCTTCTTGACAATGAACAAATCTCACAAAGGCAGAATCTAGAAATGTGTCAATATTCCAGAATAAGGCTTTTCCTATAAAATCAAATTCGGAGAATGCCTATCAGTTGTTAAAACTCCAGAGGACTTGGTGTCTGGGGCTTTGATTTGATGCATTACTCATGAAAGTGGAGGGTCTATCCTTTTGCCTTGGAACGTCCCTGCTTGGGCCTGCTGTGAAATGATCCAACCTTCAGGGTACGGTGCCACCATGGCACTTGGCCAGCATGTCACTAGAACGTGCTGACCATTTGCATCCAAGTGAAGACTCTACAAAATGAGTCTACGGAATCAGAATTACGAAATCTAAGGGCAATAAAATGGGTTCTTTGCTTCAGAGTCAGTCCAGTTGAAGATGGAGTTAGGGCTCTGCTCCTGAGGTCCCAAGGCCTGAGATTGATTCCCAGTCACTGCCATTTCACGGCCTCTCGAGGGTTGTTAATGAGGCTCCGTGTTGGCCTGCTTGAGGTCCCATAATCACTGTAACTTTGGTTTATGTTGTCAGCAGCCCCAAAGGGCCCCCCAGGCAGTGATGGAAACCTTGTTAGCAGTGGCAGCTCACCAATCTGATGGTAGGGTGGGCACTGTGTCCCTTCCTTGCCCAGCACCCCGCCCCCACTTGCCCCATGCTCAGTCCCTGCCTCCTGCTGACGCCGGCCCCTGGGGTTGCACCGTGGCTGCCCACCCCCCCCCACCCCGCTGCACCTTTGTTGGCATCCCTTGACCTCTGCTTCTTTCCCGGTCCTGCCTTTTCTTCCCTTGTATTGTACTCCTTTCTTTCCTTTTCCCCCTTTCCTCCCCTCACCTTCCAGCTCAGCCTCTGGGCCCCTCCCAGGAGCTTCCCCCAAGTCACGCCCACCCAAGGGGACCAGGGAGCTTCCCTCACGCCGACGTCCCCAGGCCCGTGCATGTGGTGGCATGTGGAGGGCTGCCCGTGTTCACGTTCTCCCTGTCCTATGTAGAAATCCGGCTGCTGGTTTGATGGGAAGTAGTTAGTGCTTGTCTTGTCGGCTGCCACGCATGCTTGAGAACAACGGCTTTGTTTGTTCTCTGGCCCTTCTGGGTCTTGGGAGTGGGGCAGGCATGGGTTTGTTTCCAGGAGTGGCCGAGCTTACCTGGCTCTCAAGGGAGAGCCCCCCTCGGGGCCACATCACGAGAGGGGCACACCACAGTGATCGTGAAGTCTTGCACGTAAGCCTGAGCTGCTGTTCTGTTTTTCAGGAACGTACAATGTTTCCACCCCAGAAGCAACCAGCTCATCCCTGGAAAACACATCCAGTGCTTACTCCTTGCTCAACTAAGAACAGGAAAAACGACCTATGTGACTTCTTTAAAGGACAGTGGATATGCTCGGAAAAAAAAAATCCTTTCAAAGCCGTGGGTAAAATGTTTTCTCTGCAGGCTTCCTGGAGCAGATGCTGAAGAGCCTCTTCCATTAGGGAAAAGAAGCTTTCTTTCATAAAGACAGACTAAACGTAATTGTTAAGTTTATTTGCTGTCCCAGCCCCCACCTCTTGTGTGATACTAAATGTGTACAGTATTTAAGTGAGACTCAAGTCCCCGGAGGCCCAACTTCCCTGTCTATATTGTAAAATAGAATTTCAAAGAGACATTTTTACTTTTCACACGTTGGGCACAAAAATAAGCTTTGATTAACATAATAAGCACAAGGCTAGTACCCAGGAAATACTTCAGTGAACTCTCAGAAGGAAGGGAGGAAAGAAGGAAGGACACAGGAAAAAAGAAAAATATAGAGAAAAACAATTAAGAACCACATTTTAAAAATTTCCATGTTAACATAATTATTCTGATACTGCAACATGGAGAATATAAAAATGGCTCAAAAACAGAAACTGAAATAAATCATGGAGAAAGTTTGGTATTTTCTTGGTATTTTCTTAGCTACAAGAGAACATTTTTTTAGAAAGGCAGTGGGAAGAGATTGGGAGGAAATTGTAACATCAGGATGCTTTCAAGTGGATAATAATATTTACAAGAAATTCATGGAAGGAGATATAATTCTCCTGATGCTAAACACACACACACATGCTGGTGCACGTGAAGTTTTGAGCTCAGGGGAGGGAGCAGGCAGAGGAAATGGGATAGCCGTGCTTTATCAGATCTAAGCAGATCCAACTGCTAGTTACATTTTTTACCGTTTATCGGAAAAGCCTTATCTTTTGGTATGTTCCACTTTTTGAAGGCAAAAAAATATATATTTTTATATGCATCACTTGCCAAATGTGACATAAGGTGATATGAATGTGATATATTGTACTGGAAACAGATCCCGACTGTTGTGTATTATATTTAACAGCTTTAACCAGGTACTTCCCTGTGCATCATAGAATAGATTTTCATAATCTTATGGCGTTGTTTATCACTGTTGTTGCTACTGTGGATTTAGTGGCCCTTGGTGTGTGGTCTAGCTCCCTATGTATTAGCTCTTTCAGTCCTTAAGTTCCAAGACCAATATACGGTAAGAGTTTTGTATTGTCTAATTTGTGTTTATTCCAACCACTCGGAAATCCTCTGAAATGAAATGTTACAGTTGGCTACTCTATGCTCCCAATAACACTTGACCTTGATGAGCAGATGGTGGAGCTTTCCCCGAGGATTTGGTTGTCTGTGAATTATGTGCATATGTGTGTGTGCGCATTTCATAAAAATACAAATATTTATTAAAATTTCATCCATATTAAAGTTAAGCATGTGCTGTAGCCCACAGCAACCATACATTCCAAATTGAAGTCTGATCCCAGAGACACAGTGAAACGGAATAAAAATGTGGGGCTACTTGAGGAATGTGGGCCGTGGGGTCTTCGTAAGGACTGAGAACCAGCAAGGATCCAACCATCAGGAAGGTGGGACAGACGAGGCTGCGATGTAGCAACCTTTTATTTATTGAGTTTCGAAAGAGTTTTCTTTCACTATTTTAACTCTTTAACCTCTCTTTTTTTTATTTTTAATTTTAAATTCTTCTCCTGCCTCTCTTTTCTTCAGGGGGAGAAACGGGTGGGGCAGATAGAAGTCCTAGTAGTGTTTCAAGTAAATGCGCTCTTCGTTTCTACCTGTTCACAAACAGCGTAGACATCTACTCCCACGCTTGCCAGGAAATTGTCACAAAGGAAATGATTAAGCTATAAAATTCTCCAAGGATGGTCAGCTTTGGGCAGAACTCAGTACCGAGGAGACAGAGCCAGACGCTAGGTTGGAGGATAAATGGGATGAGAATTAGAGGTTCAAGAGAGAATGGCTTTGACAAATCTGATTCCTGGAATAATCTCAGGGATAACAGAGGTAAGGTTATATAGTACAATGTGTGAGCCTGGCCATCGTGACATGATGGGCCAAAGAAAGCATAGCACCCAGCAGGGGCTCCAAAACAACAATGGGACAAGGAACACTGAACTTCCAGCCACAACAGTAGGGGTCCTTTGGGAATCATTGTGTTGTGAAGGCAACCTCTATAATGGCAGGAACCTTCGCAGCATTCATAGGATGTGGATTTGGCCCTTTGCCCACGTGCATTAACTAAGGCACGTTCCCTTACCCCCAGCACACACACATGCACACATATGTGTGCACGTGCTTTCTAGCTTTCAAGCCACAACACCAGATCCAAATTCCAGAAAACCTATGAAAACAAAAACTTAGAGACATACTTGCTGGTGTTCTGCTCAACTGCAAGATACATAGTTCAACCACTGCTGTTTGCCAAGAATATCTTAAAATAAAAAATAGAATTCAATATTGTAAAAGAGAGTGGTCCACGAATCTGTGAACTCCGTGAAAGCAGGAACCCTGCCTGGTCCTGTGTTCACTAGTTCTCAATCAACAATGATTGCAAGGCAATCCCCCTTCTGAGGAAAAGGAGGAAGGAATGTCAGCTCTGATGTTGGTACAAAGTGACATGTGTGGTCTGCCCTGCTTGCAAAGTGCCCAGGGCTTCCCCATGTGCCTGACCTCTCAGTGGGTAAAGTCAGTTCCATGGGCCAAAACTTAACTTGCATTAAAGGACTTCTATTAAGTCAGTTTCTTGCAAAGGGATCTGTGCTAATGCTTCAGAGCTTGTGAGGTGAGAGCATTCACAAAGGAGCAATTAATCTAAGCTACAGAAATATTCTCTGGGAATACTGTTAAGTCCAGTGTAACACACCATGTCCTGAAGGAGTTGCGTCTGCCACCCTCCTCCCCATTTCTTATATATGGAGAAAGAGGTAAATAAAGACCCACGGGGTTTTCAGGATACAAGCTGCTAAGGCCAGAAATTAAGAAACACTAGGAAATCCTAGCCTTCTGTAGTTTGTTTAGAGAACTTCAGAGAGATCAGTGTTGGAAGGTCAAAAAAAAAAAAAAAGTGACATGGGGATGAGAAAGATCATAGCGACCAGGAAGTGCAGACGCAGGGGAGGGAGTTATCTGGGGTGAGAGGAGCAGAAGGTCACAACCACTGGGGAAGACAAAAGGAAACAAGTATGGTCCCAGAAATCCAGTGTAGATGGAATGCATTTGATTCGTGGCACGTGAAGGTGATGTCAGACAGAATCCCAAAGGGAGCCGTGACCCAGGCCAATGGAAGTCTGATTCCCTGAGTGTCCAAAATAAAGGAGGGGCTTACAGTGGATGTTATCTTTCTTAGGTATTTTTTAATTTTTTTTTTATTTTTTAATTTTTATTTTTTTTATTCATGAGAGTCAGAGAGAAAGAGAGAGAGAGAGGCAGAGGCAGAGGAAGAGGGAGAAGCAGGCTCCCCGCTTAGCAGGGAGCCCGATGCGGGACTCGATCCCAGGACCCCGGGATCATGACCTGAGCCGAAGGCAGACGCTTAACCATCTGAGCCACCCAGGTGCCCTCTTAGGGTATTTTTTAAAAAGTCAATGAAAATAGCGTCTCATCATTTGAAAGACGTTAGCTTTGGAATGAGATGCTATAGGTTTCTAACAGTATGACTTGGGATATTAAATCATGTCGCAAGAGTACGCCAGCATACAGCTCTGTGTCCTGTCCATGCTTATAACAATAAAATATCTAGCGAGATCTCATGAAGCTTTCTTTATATAAATTGTCTGCTCTTTTGTAAATAGGCCAGCGCTGCTCTTTTAGGCTTCCTGACCAGAAATCCAACCAGCATTTAACGCCCTTCCCCTCACAGCGAATGGTGGCTTCTGTTCTCCAGGTGTGGTGGGGGGCGGGGGTAGCAGAAGCTCCCGGCTGAGCTCAGTTGGCTGAGGGCACTGATGCCTTTCCTCACACCATCCACACTCCCATGCAGCATGTGAAGCCTGGAAGCTTACAGAGGGTTGAAACGAGGGACCTTGAAGCAATGCTTTCAGGACCTAACTGTCTGGGAAACAACTAAACAAGTATCTTTTCTAACATTTGTGTGTGGCTTGGTTGGAATTTTCACGGACGGCTGAAAACAGAGCCCTGTGAGTTCTGTTAGCAACAGATTATTTCTGCAACGTGGGCCCATATTTCCTGTTTTCGTATTCTATGGCTGAGTAACATGTTACCACAAACTTAGAGGCTTAACACTGCACCCACTTATGAGAGCACGGTTTCTGGGGTCAGAAATCTGGGCATGGCTTCACTGGGTCCTCTGCTCAGGGTCTGGCCAGGTGGAACTCAGGCTAGCAGCTGTGGATTCATCTGAAAGCTGAGCTCCCCCTCCGTGCTTATTGGTTGTCGGGCAGGATTCTATTCTTTGTAGGTATAGGACAGAGGCCCTCATTACCTAGAGGTGTCCTGCCATCCCCTGCCATGTGACCTTTTCTACAATGTGGTCCTTTGCTTTTTTAAAGTCAGCAGGAGAAATTCCGTGCTGCTTTGAATCTCTGACTTCTTCAGTTTCTGATCCTAGACCCTCTTGTAAAGGACTCACCTGATTAGGTCAGGCCCATCCAGGATAATCACCCTGGTGATGAACTCGAAGTCAGGTGATTAGGGGCCTTGATTACATCAGCAGATTGTGATGTAAGGTGAAGACCTTGGCCATATAATATATTCTACTCCTGGCAGTGATGTATTTACAGATCCTGCCCACAGTTAATGGGAGAGGATTATACAGGCTATTGCATCAGATTGTTTAAACAAACATTAAGGACCCAACGCTGCTCTGTAGATTCTGTCTGAGGCATTTGCTGTGGCTTTGTGACCTGTAAACATTTCTTTATCCACAGCACTAATCACACTGAAAAGGGGCTCTCCGGCAGTACCACGGATAAAGCTCGCGTGATGCAACTAATGTAGCGTTACCTCTGTCTAGTGACTATGCAAATGTGAAAGAAGTCACCTTTCCCGAGGGGATGGCCTCCAGCTCTGTGGGGCTTCGGGGAAAGGGTGCTATTTGGCAAAGCCTGATGTGTCCAGATGAAAAGAGGCTCACCAACGCCAGGGCCAACAACCTTCCCCAGCGTGGTGCGTGTCTGGGGTGCGGGTAGAGGGAGTCCAGGAGCTGATGTTCCCTTGACGCTTGGGCCAACGGATCAGAGACCTAAGCAGACAGGTGCCAGCCAGTCTTCCACACGCTTGTACCCCTGACCGTCGGGTCCTTAAAAATAAAGTCAATATGCTCCTCCTATGCTGGGCACTTCTCATCCTTTAAGCGTTCCCGTGAAATGTTGCAGTCTGCAGCCCGCAGCCCGCAGGTCACGCCCGGGGCTGGGAACAGCTCCTCCTCGACAGACCCACACACCCCTCGAATGCTCCCCTGGGTCACAGGAGCCTGTCTGGACTTTTCTGCTCTTTTGCACCGATTTTTTTTTCCCCCTTTGTAAGATAACACATACATCATTCAGAAGGAAGAGGTTTATTTTTGTATTTTGAAGACATTCCCTCCTGGCTTTATGAAGTTTATACTTTCTTCATATAAACAGGAAGAAGAGAGTGCTTCCCATGAACACTTTATGTGAACACGAAGGCAGCTTTCTTTGAACTATTTGGTAACGCTGTGTAAGCTGCATGGTCTAGAGGAATGAGAATGTGAATCCCGTGCTTTTAAATTTTGAGGTAGCCACATTAGAAAAAAAGTAAATCAGTAAAACTAATTGCAGTAACACTTCTATGTAACCAAGTTTATCCAAAATATTAACATTTCCAGATGTAATTAATGTAAACTTATTAATGAGACATCGTACACTCCTTTCCTTTTTCTTTGTACTAAGTGTTGGAATTCCTGTGTGTATTTTATGCTAACCAAACACCTCCGTTGTCCAGCCACATTTCAAGTGTTCAATAGCCACACGTATCTAGAGATTTTATTTATTTATTTTGACAGAGAGACACAGCGAGAGAGGGAACACAAGCAGGGGGAGTGGCAGAGGGAGAAGCAGGCTTCCCACTGAGCAGGGAGCCCAATGTGGGGCTCGATCCCAGGACCCTGGGATCATGACCTGAGCCGAAGGCAGACGCTTAACGAGTGAGCCCCCCAGGCGCCCCTGCACAACAGAGATTTAGAGTATCAACCAGCGACAAATGCTTTCTGCCATTCTGCCTTCTG